GAAGGTTCGTACGCTTGATCGTATTGTCGATAAGAATTGGTTTTTTTCTTGGATTTCTTATGTTTGGATTTTTCTCGTTTCAACATTTCTATTAATTTATTTAATTTAACATCTTGTTCAAATAATTTTTCTTTTATTTTATCAAAGTTTTCGTAATTATTTTCGAGATTTGGTTGAAATTCTTTCTTGAAACCATCAAGTTCTTGTCGAAGGTTTTTAATATCCTGATCTTTAATCAAAGAATTAACTTCCAACTCTTCAATACGAGCCCTCAAAGAATCATTCAATAGTTTAAACGATTCTAATTCAGGGGAATTTTTTTCTATTTTATCACTCATTTATTCAACTTATCAAAAGGTTTAAGTTTCAAGTCTTCTTTTTATCGTTATTAAATTTCGGGATTAATTTTGAAGAGAGGAGAAAACCTTTCATTGAGAAAACGCCATAATTATGTATTACTCTATTGTAAGCGAAAATTTATTAAATTTCGTCATGTAATGGACGGCGCAGTATGATCATTTTAACCAAAACTTTAAAAAAAGGTTATTCCCTTCGGTAAAATTTCCTCCTTTTTTAATTTTGTAACAATAAACAAACGGTATATGATAATAAATATGAAATCTGCCTTATACGGTAATTCATTGATTTATAAATGCTAGTATGAAAAATGCCTTTTGAGATCAACGCCCACCAAAAATAGAGAAATCAGAAAAATAATATGGTGTAATGTAGGACAGATTCCATTCCTTGATAAATTGGGAACATCCATGTGAAAAATACAAGATTAAAGTTTCCCCAATGGTAGTAATGTCGTAATGTGTGTATCTATTTTAAGGGGACCAAAAACTATAAAAGTACGGCGCAGTATAAAAATTTGCAAATAACCACTTTTATTGTTTAAAAACGATTTAAACTTTCAGATTCCGCACATGTAATATGAACAATCATAGTATCGCACAGAACGACCCCTTTTATAAACTAATTGAAAAACAAACTGAAGAGTTTAGAGAATATATAAGAGTGAGTTTAGATTTACAAATTTCCTATAAAGATTATTTGGTTCAGCAAAATGGGAGAAAATTTTGCAATTCTACGGATAACTCGATTGATTTCAAAAAAGTATGTGAGAGATATGAAGAAAAAATTGATAATCAATCAAAATTAATCGATTCTTTAAAAACTCGCATCGAAGAATTGGAAACGGACTCGATTATTAAAACTCAAAATATTAAAAAGCTTCAACAAGAATTTATTGATTTCAAAAAACGAGATACGAAAAGAACTACTTCGAGTACTTCGAGTAAAGTTGAAAGTAATGAGGACGAAGACGAAGACGAGATTTTGAAAAACGTTAAAACAGAATCAATAGATACAATAATATTCGAGGATGAACAAGAAATGTCCAAGCGATTAAAATCTTATCAGAAAGCAGTAATCATCGCAGAACGAAAAAATCTTGCCCGAAATGAACGTATCCATGCTCTAGAAGCCTTATTAAAAGAAGCACAAGATAAACTCGTTTCCCAGAATGAAAGGTTAATTATCTATTTTCATTTCCTCTAAATCATAAGAAGTGTATACTAATTAATTCTACTTTAAAGGTCCGAAGAACAATTACAAAAAGTGCGGGAACGTTTGGAAAATACAAGATGTATTATTGTTAAATATTTTCTCAGCTTCTTTAACGATTATAATTTATTAATAATTTTGAAATTTATTAGCCCAAAAATACTCTTCCTTTTCTGGCCTAACTTTTGGTAGCATTGCAAAACCTCTCCGAGGTGGTTTATCAGTAAATAAGCAATGAGTATGAACTTATATTAGAATTTTTCTTTTTTTTTTCCTTTACTATAATAAACACTTTAATAATAAATCATTTGATAAAAAAATTATATCGGCCGTCACAAGTTCTGGAGTCTTCTTCAGTCTCCCTCAGTTGCTGAGTCGTGAATTTTAATCTGTATTCTGTTCATTTTTCACTAGATCGACTCAAATGTCCACTTCGAATGAAATCAATTTTCTCATAATAATAATTAGAATCAACCATCTATTTTACTTCACAACCGTCAAAATTATGAAATCCATTCAATGGGAACGTTCCGACGCTGATACGCTGATGAGAATGGATATCATCTCATTATGTTTACTGCTTACGAAAAGGAATGCGTGATACCTTAATTCGGGCCAACATTAACCGGTTCTCTCGTCTTTGCTTTATATAATCTTAATATTTTTCGCCGCTATTAAATCAAAAATATATTTATTAAATTCATAGTTTTTGACTTTCGACTGTCCAAATAATTTTTATACCCTACGGAAAAATTAATTGGAGTTTTGCACATAAAAAATCCAGAAGGACATTTCTTTTTTTTTTTTTTTAAATAAAAGTTCCTTTTTGATCTGTTAGAATTGACGTGCCATTAAAAATATAAAACGATTACTTCGCGAAAACTCAAATTTTAACAGCGTAGATTAAATGTTTACAATTTACATGTACTAATTTGCGAGCTGATAATTTTGAAATCGATATCTATGGATTAAACGAACACGAGTTTAAAACGTTTTCGCCAATTTGATTTTCAAATTAGGTTTCGGATAGTTTTGGACGAAACTGATTTTTCACCGGACGAAATTTTTCGAATTTAAATACCAAAAACACTATCGAGTTGAATTTTTCATAGAAAAACCTGCTAAGCCACAGAAGTATAAATCAATCACGTGACGACGATCCGTTTTTTACTTTAAGCCAAATTTCGATTAGCAATGTGATGACGTTTTCTAGATCTATCCTCATGACCTATTATTATTATTTGTTTTGAATTTGCGTTTTTATTTACATGAAGCGGAAAAAAGAGTAACACCTTTTTAACCTTTTATAGCAACGTCGAATTTTTCATCCTTGAAAATTATCTCGCATCATGAATTATTCAAAAATGGACTATTCAACTAAATATTTCTGCAGACTTTGCAGACCAGTAATTTTAATTTTTATTTCAAATAGTACGAAAAAAAATTATCTTACAGTTTATTATTGATAAGAACATGAATAAACTTACAAAGTTGTATGTGTTGAAATAAGAACTTTAATTGTAATAATAATATCAATATACAATAAAGTAAAGAATTAGTTGTATATCTATACTAAAAATAGAAATTGGTTTATGTAAAAACCTATAAAATAGTGTAGGAAAATTTGAATGATTGTTAGAAAATCAGTTTTATTAACTTTTCAGTAAAATTAAGATATTAATAGTTTATTAATATTATTAGATTAAAATCTTAATTATTTTCAAAATTTGATTTTCTAACAATCATTCTATTTAAATATTTATATTTATTGTATTTACTAATAGTTCTAATTTAAGCTAATTAAATTTAACAGTTTATGATTAAAAAAATATGAAATACTATTTATAAAATTTATTATAATATAGTATTGTTAATGTGTAATTCTTGTGAAGTATAACTGTTAGATAGGATGTTCAAGTGTTTATTCTTTTTAATTGGATAATAATACTTAATACTAAATTCTCAAAGAACTATTTATGCAAAAGTTTAATAGATGATAATTCAATATTTATCAAGTGATTATGATTTAAACTAAAGATATTAAAGATGAAAACTGTTATTAATACGTTACAACTTTTAATATTGCAATGTACATTGCAATTAGTTTTAACCTATATATGTTGTAATTTATATTGTTATAACATATGTTGCAATTAATTTTAGTTTATGAAATATGTTGTAAATTTGAAATTAATTGCTACATCATCTTTAATTCAAACTAAATATATTTATTCATAAAATAAGAAAATAGAAGATAAAAAGAAAAGAAAAGAACAAAATACTAAAACTTAAGTAAAGATACAATAGGTCAGTTGACCTTAAAAACTACTAAAATCTAACTTATCAATCCTTGCTTTTTACATGATATAAAATGTTTCCTATTATATAAAATATTATAAAATATATTAAATAAAAAAAGAAAATTGATATATTATATATATCTAATTTATCATATATGATTAATATACCTAATATATCAACTATGTTTAATTAATCAACTATGTCTAATATATCAATTATATTAGATATATCATATATTTTCAAATATATAAGAAATGTCAGAAATTTTAGACATGTCATTTATTAAATTTATTAATAATCTACATCACATATATCATGTTATATTTATCTATTCATAGTATTAATAATTAATAATAATATCAACTATAGTAACTTTTAAAGTATCTCAGTAAATTATTAGACATTTTTTAATTAATTCAATCATCATTTGGTTAAAACTTTCATTTAAAATTAATAACTATAATTGTGTTATTAATATCTTAAAATTTAATTTATATTATAAATTTAATAATTATTAAAAATAAAGATAATTAGCTAATTATTTTATTTAATTATGATTTTTTAATATTATATAAATTTAAAATAATAATTTAATTATAATTCAATCATTTAAAAATTTTAAAATCAACTTTATCTGATTTTTATAAGGTTAATACTACTATTAATTTTAACTCCAATAGCTAATTCTATTAATAATTAATTAAAAATTAATATAAAATTTTAAATAATATTTATACTTTATATATATATTATTTAATATAATAATTTATTTTATTTTTACAATTACAGACCCTAGCTAAAAATCTTTGAATACTAATTTTGACATCGTATTTCTCAAGATGCAACAATCAAAATTAGTTCAAAATTTTATATAACTTTGAAAAAAATCTTAATCTATAATATATTAAATTTTCATTTAATTTGAATCAGTAGAAGCTGAGATATATATATAAATATAAATGCATAAATATTTTGATTTTAAATTTTAGTTAAAGTTTTTAAAAAAATATTAAATAGATTTTCTAAATATCTAATGATTCAAATTAAATAAAATTTTAATATATAATAAATCAATATATTAT